AAAATGTGGAGGGAAAATCAAAAGTAGTTAAAAATGGCCAATTATACCCTGGACCCCAGAGGGTTAAACATTTTTTAAAGTAACACAATAGTTACTTTCAAGTAATTAATTACTTTTAGAATATTGTAACTCAGTTACTAACTCAGTTAGTTTTTTTGAAGAAGTAGCTAGTAACTATAATTAATTACTCTTTTAAAGTAACTTGTCCAACACTGTTTAGGAATGACTTTCACTGTTTTGGTTGACTTTGTAGAAAGCATTTTATGATTCTATTCATTAATAACTCTTATGATTTTATTATTATTTTATCAGTCCTGGTAAAATTTATAGTGATAATTCTAACCTTGTTATTAACTTCTCATGTTTTGCTCAGGTGCTGATCGTCTTTATGACAACATTGAAGACATGATAGGTTATCGTCCCTGGCCTCTAATGAAGCATTGTTGGCTTTACGTTACCCCTGCTGTGTGTCTAGTGAGTGAAACAGAGTTCCTAAGAACACAAGTAGTCTAATTTATTCATGAAAACTTGTGGACTCTTTTTGTGATAAAGCACCAAACAACAATTGAAAGCTAAAACTTCCTCTTCTAGTTCAGGAAATAGTTTGAGGTGAGGAATGAACAAGAGATGCAAGTGAATAAAGAAGAGAAAAAAAGTGTCCATAACCTTCCAGTGTCATTGTGGCATATGACTCTGTGATAAACTGTGCAGGCTGCACCCTGCTGGTGATACACTAAAACTAGTATGAGACAGTTATACGAATATGGTGGCGAGAGATAGGAAAAGTGGGGGAAAAAAGAGAAAATCTACTATAGTTTATTTCATTATTAATTATTGTGTGTGTTTGTTTTCATTTATTTCAGGATTATTTTTTAGAGACAGTTCACAAAAACAGTCATCTCAAGATGTATTTTATTGCATAATGCAAGGACCCTACATTATCACACTATGAACAGCCAGCAAGGCAAAGCAGAAACTAAAGGACTTGTAGACAAATCTCAATGAGCATCGTGCCAGATAAATATGTCAGCAGGGAAAACAAGGGTTTGGAGGGAAAGTGCTTAGTGCTTCACGAGAGGACCTACAACAGTGGGAGCCTACACCAGCATCTGCAAGCAAGATGTTTCTTGACCAAAAATCAAATTCTTTAATAACTTATTTTAGATTTGCTGACAATGAAGGAACAATGAATCCACAGAAAATATTCCCAGATGAAGAGAACACAAATCAAAAGTATCCATATACATTTAGAGTAACTGTAGATAACCTATACTTAGCAACCTATACTCATTGTACTTTCCCTGGTGATGATAAAGATTTTTCTAAAACTGAATTTCTTTGAAAATTTCAAAACTTCATTGTTGTGTTGTTTGTGTTTCTTTCAGGGTACTTTTGTCTTTTCAATTGTGAAATATAAGCCTCTCAAGTTCAACAAAACCTACGTCTATCCGACCTGGGCGTACGCTTTGGGCTGGTTTCTTGGACTGTTCTGTGTTCTTCTAGTTCCTCTGTGGATCATCTTTAAAGTTACTACAATGAAAGGGACAATTTGGCAGGTATGCACTCAGTAAAGAAAACAGGAGCACCACCGAAACACCATTAAGCTCCCAGGTGATCTTGTTACTAATTCAGTTCAGTTTAGTGTTAAATGTTTTTCCACCATGACAAGTGCAGTCAGGATAAGGTAGTGTGGCGGATGGATCAAAACAGTGTCCATGCTTGGATTCAGCAGTGCTGTGTGCATGTCTCCTCTTGTTACTGGTGCCGAACAAAATATTTTAAAAATCTAAAACTATATGAGCTTTTTAATCTGCCAACACATCAGAATGTTCTTTTCTTTAACTAACAGCCCAACACATTCAAGAGCATTAAACCTTACAATTCTGTAGTTTAAAGTAAAAGCTTTTCACATCAGTGTCCTTAAAGTTGCAGCCTCTCTGACACAAGTTATTAACACAGACAGTTCAGCAACTCATCTTAGGCCAAAAACATTAGCAAAGCTGGGCACCAGACAACAAAATACTTCCTGATGGATTACCTTAAACTTTAATATGCTTTTGCTGCCAGAAAAGCCAAAAGGCCGTCATTAGATTGGACTGGCTGAAAGGTCACTGAGTTAAAAAAAAATGCTCCAGTGTCGTTCAGATAAGATATCCATCTGGAAACATGTAAGAATAATGAAAAATCAGGGGCTCAGTAAAGTTATCCCCTACATCCTGTGTGGGGGCATTAATATCTGTACTAAATCCCATCACAATCCATCTAATAGTTATTAAAACATTTCCATTAGAAGTCCTGAGTTCATTCTGGTGTTAGAGGAACAGTCAGCAGATCAAGTAGAAGACTCCCGGCCATCATCCTGTCTGTTAAACTGTAAACTTGTTCATTTTCAAAATCCGTAGAACAAACAAATTAGCAGTAATCTAATCAATAGTGAGGGACACTGGGGAAGCTGTAATAGGTGTTTGGTCATTTCTGCACATTTTGAAAAGTTATGATTTATTGCAAATGGACTGAACTGATTGTCTTTCCACAGAACCTCAGGCAGCTGTGCATCCCGCAGAGCTTGACGCACAGAAAAGCAAAGCAGCCCGAGCAGTGCCCTTTAAACCCAGACATTACTCTTACTCCTGTTGCCAACGAATACAAGGGAAGAGGTGGAGCTGAGATGGAGATGCAAGTCTGAAAACCATAACATTTTTATAAATTTTTCAGATGTGATGTTTTTATTTTATTTTAAACTCAAGGTTTTGTAAAGGAAATACTGATAAGATCATTAATTCCGAAGACTTCTAGCAGAGTTCAGAGGCAGGTCGAGTTTTGAGAGACCGTGTAGACTAGTGACTAGCGAGGTAACTTTATTCCCCGCTACATTTTTGTCTTGCTAGCAGCAATCAGTTTCAAATCATTCCAGTGTTTGGTTGGCTCTTATTTAGCACCACAATCCTCAAACAAAAGCACTTGAGCCTTGTAGTTGACTTTCACATTAGATTGCCACAAACACTGACACAATTTCTGCTGATTGATAGAATTCACAACTGTAACTGTGTTGAAATGTACTTTTAATAATGTGGCAATAATATTGATAAGCCTATTAATGTAGGCAGCTGGAAAAAGTTTTTCTAAATTTTCTCCTGCATCTATGCTGAATCTGTCTTACACTGCCTGGTCAAAAAAAGAAAGAAAGAAAAGCAACCACCCGTATTTAAATAAGCAAGCTGGTAAGAGAATGATGGTGAACCATCATCTTGGGGAAAAAGGATGAAATTTTTTCATCTTGGGAAAAAAGTTTTATGAAGCTAACAGCATTTCCACATTGTTAAGACAGTACAAGTTGTGTAGCTTTAGGAAAACTACTTATCAGTGGTCAGCTGACTACCGCTGATGTACTGAATTGCCATCAATGTGTTTTTTTTCCCTCATGATTCTGAGAAGACAAATCGAGGATTCAGCAACTCTGAAAGATTAGATTAGATGAAACTTTATTAATCCCTCGGGTGGGTTCCTCTGGGAAATTCAGTTTCCAGTAGTGCAGCACCGACAGAAGTTGCATGTTACAATAAAGGGGATTGAGAGTATGGATGTAAGCATATGTAACACATGGTGACACTAAATCGGTCGCACTAAAAAGAAAGATTCTTTAAAATACAAGGGGGAGCAAGAGAGTCAGATACCACGGGCACAGAGAGGAAGCTGGTCTGATCAGAAACAGTTTATTACTAGGCCAGGGAGCACAAATAAAAACACCCTTAAAATGCACGTAATAAAATGTTGTCAATCTACTAAAACTAAATAAAACAATT